GCCTCAACCCTGCCGCTTCGCACTCGGCCGAGAACTGCTCCAGCGAGAGATGCAGATCTCGTTCCGATAAAGCCAACAGGACCACATCATCCGCAAAAAAGCAGAGATGTGATCCTAAGGCCACCAAAACGGATCCCCTCAACACCTCGGCTGCGCCTAGAAATTCTGTCCATGAAAGTAATGAACAGAATCTGTGACAAAGGGCAGCCTTGGCGGAGTCCAACTCTCACCGGAAACGAGTCCGACTTACAAAATAAATGTTACTTTTACACATTTATGGAGCTTTTTTTTACAGAGCACTAAAATGACACCGCTCCCAAAATAAATAAAAATAAATTAAATAAACCTTGCTGGCATTGATTCACATCAGTCCCTCTAAAGCGTTTTGAAGCTCGACCCATTTCCACTTCCTGTCCCGCCGTGAACCAAACCTAGAACCGGCATCCGCTCCTCCTCCTCCTGCTGCTCCTCGTAACGATGAGAACATCCGCCGCCGACAAGAACCGGCTGCTAAACGGTCGACTGGGGTCCACTTCTGAAGCTGTGGTTAATTACACCACCTCACATCATCATCATCATCATCATCATCATCATCATCATCATCAATCATCATCATCATCATCCTCCTCCTCGCACTAAAACCCTCTCAGGTTCTTGCTGATCTGCCCAACAGAAGCTAAAACAATAAAAGCAAAGAAGTTAAAGCAAAGCTAAAACAAAACAAAGAAACTGGACCAGAAAGGTTGACCCAGAAGAGCCGAAATAAAACCTCCTTAAATCTGTTTCTCTGCTTCTTTTCACCGTTAAACCTCGATTTGATCGTTTTGTTTCACAACGAAACAAAAATGTGAAAAAAAAAAAACAATTAAAAATAAATAAAAGCACAGATCTGCACTTCGTCTCTGCACATTCAGAGTTTTCAGTTGACATTTTGTTTTTATTCCCGGTGCTGTCTGCTGACTAATTGTAATAATAATTGTGGTTTCGGCTAATCTTGGCCCGAGCCGTGACCTCCGGTGGATTGCAGATAATGAAATAATTGCACTTAATGCGTTTTTAATTTTTTTATTTTTATTTTTTTGCAGCGGGRTGGCTGGCAGAACCTGCACCTTCAGAAGAGCAGGCATCAACATTCAGCTCCGTCKGCGACGTTTCCCCACTTTAATTGAAATTTAGATTGTTGTTGACCCTCCTGGGCCAGGTTTTCTGGACCGAGCCTCAGATGAAGACTCTAATGGGGTGGGTTGGCCAGAGAAAGCCATCTATCTGTCATTGTGTGTCTGTGTGTGTGTGTGTGTGTGTTTTCTCTGGCCATTTATCTTCCTGCAGCTCTGCAGATTCCTCTGCACACAGAACACGAGTTGCTCTTTTTCAGCAGCTGTGTTTGGGAGAGGAGGGSTTTGTGTTTTTCTCTCCGTTCCTGAAAACAACCTGAGGGATGGACCGGTTCCTCTGGCGATCCTGCCTTTCACTCAGAGGCGCTACATATCTACCTCACCAGCTAATGAGAGCGTCGGGACGCCAGCAGACAGAAATGTTGTGTAAACAGCTTTAAGATTTGAAGACTGCAGCAGAAATATAAAATAAAACCGCTAAACATCCATGTTGTCTTTATCTGTAACAAAATAATGCAGATTTGTGCTGACAGTGTTTTTTTTTCTTGCTTTCAACTCTTTAATATTTCACTGACTTTCCAAGAACCAACCATTAATGCAATTTGTCATGAAAGACGAAAGCAAATGTGACAGTTTGCTTTTTAACACCAGAGGCATAACAGCCATTGGTTGACTTTAACCCTTGACTGTGACGGCTACAATACAGACCCGTGGCCCAGAGGGGTCACAGTCATGGGTTGACTTTAAAGGGTCTGTGACGTGCTTATCCTTCAAATACAAAAAGTSAAAGAAAACATTTATTTTGAAGAAAATTAGCATAATAMACATGATTTTWCCCATTTTGCCTCATAACTAGCATATTTTTTCTTGAATTTAGCTCAGCAAAGTGAAACAGGAAGTGACATCAAAGGGAACTCTTTAAGAAAAGAAACTCTCTAGACTTTGTTTATTGAAACAATCTTATTTAAACTCTTCTTCAGCTCTGATAGTGACTCAAAATAATCTAAAGAAACATCAGATTCTTCTCTAATTATTGTAATATTGCTCTGTTTACATTCAGACATTCCCCTTTGACATCACTTCCTGTTTCTTCACATGCAAATATCTCAACAACTGTTCATCTAAACGGCGTGAAATTGGTTTGATAATATGTTATCCATGTTCTCTTTCCAAAAACACATTTATTACAAAAAATTTATGTCACAGGCACTTTAATGCACTATACCTCTGTGGTCATCTTTGCGCAACTCGAAGTCAACGGTTTAAAAAAAATGGGGTACTAATACTGTCAGGATTTTCTTTTTAAACAAAAGAAATTAATAAAGGGATATATTTTTATACACATTACTTTGTCACTTTAGGAAAACTTTACTGCAGGTTCAGGT